TACGGGATGTGAGGTTAGGAGTAGGGTAGTGGTATAAATACGAGGCAAGGCATTGGTATGGCCTCGGTATTCTGAGTTGACGAATGGAGTGCTCTATGGGCTTAATCCCCCTGATGAGTGTATGGGCGGTGTAGACGAAACGCGTCGGGGAACGACCGCGTGTATGATTTTCACTCGTAATTTTGCAGGCTATTTGTGTGTTTCGAAACTCCCATTTTGTATGCTTTCTCATACGGAGATGGTGTATGTTGTATTCATCTTTGGGTGTGCGTAACGGAGTGATTGTATGGGTGTATCTTTCTCCTCCGTTCTCATGCTAAGGCAGTCTCGCCGGGCTCTCTTTTTCCTTTTTTCCTTGGGCATTGGGCCCGTTAAAAAAAAAATAAAAAAAAAACAAAAAAAAAACATTTTGGTAGTTGGGTATAACTGCAATTTGGCGGTACCAACCTTGGCCCTCCTCGACACAGTGCACTAAATGCCTGTCTCATATCTATATGTATAGTTATCATCTAGCCCAAGTTTTTTTTTTATCACTCCAGTTGGCTGCTTAGTTAGGGTGGGCGGGCGCAGCGCTACCGGGAGCGTTGTGCCCCGCCCGAGGTTGGGACACCGCACGGAAAGGCCATGGTGAAGGTGCGCGGCAGCGATGGCGACCATCTCCTCTCTCAACCAGGCGCTTTGCGCACGCGCAGGTGACCGGAGGCGCTTGTCCACACCACGTCACAGGTTGATGTGGCAGAGTGGGCTAACTCCCGTTGGTTCTTTGCTTCCGGGAGTTCCACGTTCCACTCCATTGCCGCTGCGTCTTTGCCCGTGGCATATGGCCTGAGAGGCGTTGGCTATGTCGACGCCTGTGGAGTACAGTGGAGTCAGCCCTTGGTAAACTGAAGTGCGAGTGCAGTGGCGACTGCAATCATAAGGAAGTGGGTGCGTCAACAAAATTAGGGCGCTGCTCGGCATCGACAACGGGGCACTGATCATCCTTGGCACCATCATCAACAGGTTGCGGTTTGACAACGGCATCATTTGTCATCA